ACCCTTCACACCCGTGCCCTCCTCCTACCTGATGTCTTTCTGAAGGGCAGAAGAGAAGGAACAGAGACTTGCCTGCAGCTCCTTGATCTTCTTCTGTAGTTGCATGCCCAGGGCTTGCTCATCCTCGATTTTGCTCTGGATCTGGCTGATTTCAAAGTCTTTCCTTTGGGCAAAGCAAACCGTGTTAGAGCTCACAGGACGAAGACAAGTGCACCAGCCCCGCACTCAGGTGCCCCACAGCCACACTTACTTCTTCAGTTTCTCATCCAGCTGCTGCTTATCATTTTCCAGATCCATTATGCTGTCATGGGCCAGCTTCAGGTCTCCTTCGAGTTTCCTCTTAGCTCTCTCAAGGTCCATGCGCAGTTTCTTCTCTTGCTCCAGGGACCCTTCCAGCTACAAAGAACAAGACCATCAGTGCGCTGCCAGCCAGTTCGAACTCCGTACCTGGACTTATTCTTGCTCTATGCCTGTGTGCTTACATCGTCCACTTGCTGCTCCAGCTTGGTCTTAGCTTTGGTCAGAGTATTGACCTTGTCCTCTTCTACCTGCAGGTCATCCAGTGTCTGCTGATGGGCCTCTTGGAGGGCTTTCTTCTCTTTTGTCAGCTTGGCAATGGTCTCATCCAGGGCTGACATCTCCTCTGTGAGGTTTTTCACCTGTTGATTGTAAAAAAGTGCCAAAAGCCTGTGTAGAAGACTTGACTGCTAATGCAGTGACCTTTTCACCTTGCAGTCCTTAGCCAGGAGCTTGGTTTTTCTGGGGGCTGCCTAGCTGCCCTGCTCTTATGCTCCTGGTATGCTCCAAACCTAGCTTCGTTCTGAGGGTACCAGGCTGATGTGGGAGGCATCTGTCCCTTCACCCTTTACGTGCCTCCCTCTGTGTGTACCTTGTTTTCAGTGGCATGCTTCTCCTTCTCCACTTTGGCCAATGTTAACTCGAGGTCATCAATATCTTTCTTCAGCTCTGAACATTCATCCTCCAGTTTTCTCTTCTTGGCTGTCAGCTCAGCATTGATTTCCTCCTCATCCTCAGCCCTTTCAGTCACCTCCTTAATTTTGGCTTCCAGCTGGATTTTGGTTTTGATGAGCTGGTCACATCTTTCCTCAGCATCAGCCAAGCTGTCCGCTTCCTGGTGGGGAGACACAGATTTTTGTGGGTTGTAATGGTTTGAAGTTTCTCCTCTCTGTCTTTTCTGTCACTGAGGAGGCATCTGTTAAAATGGGAGCCAAACCTGGTCTTCCACTCCCGCAACTGCAAGATCTTGCCCGGTGTCTACTGGGAAACCTTGTCATCTGGAATCAACAGTGATTCCAATTGTTTTGTGTCTCTTAAAAATGCCTCACAGAGAGGGTAGCTGACAGAAACAGTACTCAACAGCTGCTTCTTTTTAATGGACTCCTCACGAACCTCGTCATGTTTGGGGAGAAGAGGCTTTGTGAGAATAATTTAGTGGAGCAAGTGGTGTTCTGTTTGGTGTGAAGAAACTGCCTTTTCCTAATGGACTTTGAACGGGAAGTATCTGTGTTTCGGGAAGTAATCAAGGCCTTCCAGTGTAGCTGTAAGTAGGAAAATGGGGCCTTCCCAGGTTTGCCTTGACTCTATTAGACAGATCCATTGCTCTGAAAGCTGCGTAGATGGAGATACTTCCCTTCCAGTTCAGAGCTCGCTGTTGTGGATTACATGTTGGCTAGTGTTACATGGCTCTTTCCTCAGGTAGCAGGAATCGGGATTGCGGAGCCGCGGGGGGGGCTGCCATGAGACTCACCATGCCCCTGCCAGTGCCTGGTTACTCAGCATTGGAGCGTGTGATTTCGACTGTTTTCTACTGCATGTTAGTCAGCTTCCTCTGAGTCTCTGCGTAGGACAAGAAGCATTCTGACTGTATATCATTCTTTCCCAGGGACAAATGAATGGTAATGCTCACCGCCTGCACTTGGAGCTGCAGGTCATTTTTCTCCTGCAGTAAGGTCACCATTTTCTCCTCCAGCTCTTTCCTCTTTGCCTCAGACTTTGCAAGCTCTTCCTTGGTTTTCTCAAACTCTTGTTTCATGTTGGCCATCTCCTTCTCAGATTCTGCACTCTTCAGCAAGGGCTTGATCTTGAAGAACAGCTTCATCCATGGCCAGTGCTTGACATTCATGAATGCACGAACATTGTACTGGATACAGAAGATTGAGTCCCTGAAATGAAATTCACATGGCTATTGCATACTTTGTGGATGGTGAATTTAGACTCAGTTAGCCAAGTACCATGAGAACAAGATACATGGGTGAGAAATGTCTACCTCCTCTCCACCATTCTCCGATACTCCACTCTCATCAGGAAGCCCCTGGCCCTGGCCTGTGTCATGGTCATAATCTCTGCTAGTTTCTCATCTCTCATCTCCTCCAGCAGACCTATCAGCCCAGCTTTGAAGAACACCTTAAGAAATGGAACATTGTGGCACATCAGTCTCAGGTAGTACATAACAGAGGCACATAGTTTTTGAACACGGGACTTGTTTCTACCTTGGTGTGACCAAATCTGTACTGGGTGTGGTCCACATCAATGGACCCAAGAAGCTTCTCTGAAGCCTTCTTGCTATCCATGAACTGACCTTCTGGAATAGCACTTGCATTAAGCACTCTGTATCTGTAGAAGAAAACAGGACATGAAGAAATTCACATTACTGAGACCACCACTGTGACTGAACCCCACAGTCTTCTCAGCAACAGCTGACTGCCTGACTGAGTAATATCATGTATTAGGGACAGTCCATTCTTTCAAGAGGGTGTAATGAAGGTTTCATACTGTTAACTCAGATGGACTCTGGGAATCCTGATCATCAGCCATGTCATACCATAATGAAATGGTAGTGAAGCATTTTTATATTACAAATCCATTCCTTGTTAAAATATTTATGTTAGGATACTCAATCTGTTCTCAGCAACAGGTGGTCATTTTCAGCAACAGCTGACTCCATCGTTGATAGGGACAGACCTCCCTAGAGACAGTTCAGTGGCATTTTTGGGACATTGGGTGGAAACATGTATTGTTGTTCAAATGTGAAGTGGATGTGTGAAGAAAAATTTTGTTATCTCATTGTTTTCACATAGTAGACTTCTGTAATGTGATTTGTGTATACACTAAACTGTGTAGTAAATATGCTACTTAAGTAATTTAGGACATTGAAGGAGTGGAACAGGAAGAGAATGGGGAGAAAGGTGGAGCACTCTTACCTTTGTTTGAAGTCAGCATACAGGACTCTGCTGGGGAATCCTTTCCTGCAAATTCTGATCCCTTCCAGCACACCGTTACACCGCAGCTGATGCAGCACCAGCTCATGCTCCATGGCACCTAAGAAACAGCAGTAGTGACTACCCCGTTCTTTGATACTCAGGAGAAGAGCTGCTGTGCCTTGAGTTTTCCTCCTATTGGATCCCCTTACCAGGTGTTTTTGTCTCATTTGGGATGATGCATCGTACAAAATGGGGGTGAGTGCTGCGTAGATTTGTCATCAGCTTGTTTAAATTCTCCTGTGAGATTACAAGGTAAAGTTTAGATCAACAAATTAAAGATGTGCATCCCTGCACCTGCATGTATTTCATCCATGGAAAGGACTTAATTTGTCAGATTTAAACTAAATTCCAAAATTTCCATGTTAATGTACAAAAGCTTATGCTTTCATCCATCTTTTGCTATGGAACGTTACTATGAAAAAGAAACAGAATTTGGTTACTGTGTCATCATAATTTATTATTTACAAAAAACGGGATACAGCGCATTTGATAGCCTGAGAGGCATGGCTTTGAAAGTCATGAACAATTCCCTCTGCTTGCCCTCCTGAATCAATATACTGGTTAGGCTTTTATGTGTGATAATCTTAAAGCCAGCCTCTCTGTTTTTCAGAACTGCCCCATTACTGATGAATTGTGCCTGGTAGCAGTATTGAAAAGATTCAGAAGTCCAAAAACTCTATTTGGTAAAACATTCTGAACTCTGTGCAATAGCTGAAAGGAATTGACCTATTTCAATGTCATATTTAGCTTAAAAAGTAGAGCTGTACGGAAAAAAGATCTGAATAACAACATCCTCAGCGATTTGAAGGACTTTTCATTTTGATATTTTAATGAGACAATATCGTTCCACATTGAAAAAGAGAAGAAACTAGTCCCTCATTTAAATGGAAAGAAAATTTACCTATAGTACATCATCTTCTTCATGCTCTTGCTATAGGACTTCAAGAGTTGCAACATCCCTTTTCACATTTCAAATTCCCTTTCTTCAAGGAAAAAGAGAAGAAATAAGGAAACCACTACGTACCCGGAAAAGAGCTGAGACAGTCTGGAAAGAAGAACCCTTCTTCTTGCCACCCTTCTTGCCACCACCCTCTGTAATCGAAAGAAGGGGAAAACAAAGTTAAAATAGTGATGTTGAACATTGAACTACAGAGAAAAAAACAATTTTTAAACATTTAGGTCTTTCTGTTTGACTTCCTGTCAACATTTTCCCACATTGAAAGTACAATTTTCACAGAGCTGACCTGCATCTGCTCCACCATAGTTGGCAAAGAGTAAAGCCAGTGTCTTCACGGATGATTTCTGGTACAACCCAATGACAGTTTCGTTCAGGGGGTCCTTGTTCTTCTCAAGCCAGCCAGTGATGTTGTAGTCCACTGTACCAGCATAGTGTCAGGGAGAAGTGCCCTTGCCAGGCTTGGGCTTCTGGAAGTTGCTGGACTTGCCCAGATGCTGGTCATAGAGCTTGTTCTTGAAAGAGGTGTCAGTTGCCTTGGGGAACATGCACTCCTCTTCCAGGATGGAGAAGATGCCCATGGGCTGGAAGACATTACAACAGATAAGAGGGAGAAAGAGATTCCTTGGTTGGAAAGAGGCTAGTGTTAGGACAGAACGCTGTGAAACAAATCAGAAGAAAAGGTTGCTTCTTTTCTTTTCTGGACAATATGTCAGAGAAAATTAACTGAGGTTCATAATTTTTAATCCTTAGTATTTCACCTTTACTTGTGGAACTACTTTTAATCATTACTGTTATCATTACAAATTATGGAAATACAGAGCACTTCAATAACTGAAATCTATCATTTTAATCCATATATAAACAAATTCTTTATGTGTCCCTCAATAACTAGAGAATTCCAACACTAATGCACTTGAACAGGAAGGATACCTTCTCAATGAGCTCAATGCAGGCAGCCAGGTCCATCCCAAAGTCAATGAATGTCCACTCAATCCCTTCCTTCTTGTACTCCTCCTGCTCCAGCACAAACATGTGGTGGTTGAAGAACTGTTGCAGTTTCTCGTTGGTGAAGTTGATGCACAGCTGCTCAAAGCTATTGAACTGCCAAATGTAAAACAAGACGCAACATTTTCAAGGTTCAACCATCACCACAAGGCTTTTCCCTGTGTAGTTCTGATCCTTCATGTGTCTCTTTCAACAAATACAAGGCCCCTTCCCTATCTGTTCTCCCAGAAATCCTTCAGTGGGACGGTACTTGCATTCTGAAGACAGAAAAGACTTCTAATTCATTGTAATGTGGAGATATTTTTGTTTGTTTGTTATCATTCCATATAATATGGATACTTTAATGATGATAATTATCCCTTTTCCCTTTGGCATCCCTTAATTCCAAAGCAAATTTCCTATCAGAACAAATTTATTACTAGACTCTGCGTCTCCCAACACCTCGATCATGAAGACTGCCTCAATTTGCTACTCAAATATATTTCTGTTCTATAGAGGGTGGCTTTAGGTATTTCCATGCACCGGTATGGAAGCTTTTGGAGTTCTTTCACTAACAGCATGAGCATTTCCTAATCTGTTTCAATAATTTCCACCAACAGCATGAATATTTCTAATCTCTTTCAATATTTTCCACACCTTTGGCCCGCATAACTTTGTCACAGATGTCTTCATTTTTTCTTTTGTTTTAACTAAGCTTGCATGCATTCTTGCATGCTGTGGAATTAGTTTCTTTCCTATTAAGATCTAACAGTTTAAAAGGCCAATCTCTTTAATAGTCAGATCTCTTGATCATTGTATTTTTTACAAAAAATCTGACTCTTCATGAAAGAAGTCTTAGAATTTTCTTAACACCCATTGTCCCTTCCATGAAGCTGTTGTGAAATCCCTGTTCCCTTACATCAAAGATCTCAAAGCCAGCAATGTCCAGGACACCAATGAAGTACTGTCTGGGTTGCTTGGTGTCCAGCTGTTGGTTGATGCGAATAACCATCCACAAGAACATCCTCTCATAGACAGCCTTTGCTAGAGCACCTACAGCATTGTTCACCTAAAGCAAATGGGAGATGTGCAAAAGTTAGGGCACAGAGAAAATTTAAGGAATTTTAACTGTCTGAAGAGAAATTCTGAGGTATAACCATGTATTCCTAGTAACCAATTACTTTACCTGCTCCACAGTTTGACCTTTGGTCACAAATTCATTCCCAACTTTGACTCGAGGATAACATAGGGCTTTGAGCAGGTCAGCTGAATTCAGACCCATCAGGTAGGCAGCCTTGTCAGCAACTGAAAGACAAGAGAGACAAAGAAAAAATTTTGATCATTGGACAAGGACTGGAATTTTATCAATGTCTGTGTGTCTCAGAAATGACACCAATGTTCAAAATTCTTGACTGCAAATCTTTTAATCTAGTATCACAGCAAGAATATTGCATACAGGAAAGCTGTGAAAGCCAATACTGGTAGTTTTTTGAAAGTAGTTATCAGTAAGAAATCTGTCCTTGAATATTTTAACTAAATTTGTAAACTGAAACAATGCTTTCACTAACTTCCACTTTAAAAATACATGAAGATTACAACTTGGCATTTTAGTAAAAATCTAAGAAATTATATTATATTTAAATAGGCCACGGTCTCCACTGTCAATAGGAGAAGTATGTAGAATCTAATTCTAGAGCCTATGTATGAAACTAGGGAAGCTGCCTCTTCAGAAAAACTTATAAAAACCCTCTGCATGCTAAACAGAAAAATGCATGAAACAAGCCCATCAAAAGCTAACTGAAGGAGGACCATTCAGTAACATAGGCCAGGAATCAGATTCACAACTTCATGGACATTAAAGAAACATTACTTAGTTTTCACTTCATGAAGCAATAGCTTTTGTCCTGCTAAAAAAAGTATCATCCCAAAACTGATGTCCTTATTAAAAGGTCAATTGCTAACGACCTTCTGTGCCATCGGGCTCTGCCTGCTCCTCTCGTTGCTTCTGTTTGAACTTCAAGTTCCCGTAGTGCATGACAGCCCCTGTCAGCTTGTAGATGGCAGTCTTTTCATCAGCAGTGAAGCCCAGGATGTCAATGGCACTCTGCAGTCAAAACAATGAAGTAAAAACATTGCCTAACAACCTTCGCAATCTCATTAAAAATATTTTCTTTACAGTACTTACATCTGTAGCCATGAGCTCCTCCTGGTCATCAATACTGGGAACAGTGACCTCACCTTGAGTCTTAACTTTCCTAAAAAACCCCGAAACCACACACACAAAAACAACTCAAGAAAAAAAACCCTTAATAGCACGTTTATGATATATGCAAATAACTCTGGTTTCATAGAAATACTTCCATGAACATTCAAAGGAATGCACCTTTGAACAATTCTAGGCAAAGCAAACGCGGGAAACGTATCTTAGATGTCTATTTTTCAAACAGAAGTCCTGGAGACATGCTGAGACTCTACAGAAAAACGGAGAACATATGAGCCACAGCTGCAGTACTAACTGATGTTCCATTTTAACCCCCCACGTAAACTGAAGTAGCGCAGTGCTCTCCGTTCAGCCATTGCGAGTTGTCTCCAGAATACGGCCTTTGAAGCAGAGCAGCTTCAGGAGTCTGGCTTCCTGTCACCTGGAAACAATACCCTTAGGAGATGATGGTAAATGATAGCAGCTACCTGGGTACATAAACTGAAGTCAGTGAGCAGAGTGGCTCCCAGCTGTGGGCCAGGGCTGGGAAGCTGCCATTCAGTATAGCAGTAAAGGCTGCTTTTCTTCTGCCTGACTCCTACTGTGTCAGCCAAAGGAAGGGTGCTTTAGGATTCACTGGACCTTATGCTTGGCATGGTTCCAAATAACCTGCCCCTTCCACTGAGTTGTGTTCTTCCAGCAAAAAGTCCTCTGGTTAGGACACGCTTCTATTCTACAACACTAGCACCTGGGGAAAGGCGCAGGCTGAGTCAATGGTTCTGAGCCGGGATTACCGCCTGTATTAGCGAGCGTTCCGGTATACACTGTGCTCCGGCATATATCGTGCTGGTACCTTCTGTGCCGTCTGGCTCTGCCTGCTCCTCACGCTGCTTCTGCTTGAACTTCAGGTTCCCGTAGTGCATGACAGCCCCTGTCAGCTTGTAAATGGCTGTCTTCTCCTCAGGAGTGAAGCCCAGGATGTCAATGGCACTCTAACAAAAGAAGCATTAGAGTAAGCACCATGCCTGTTAAAGGTCAGAGTCTGCCTAAGGAAACTTCTGTGCGTTACTTACGTCCGTGGCCATCAGCTCTTCCTGGTCGTTAATGCTGGGAACTGTGATCTCACCTTGACTCACAAAGTGATAGTCATACGGGTTGGTGGTAATGAGGAGCATGTCTGTAAAGAGGAATTGGACACAGGAATGAAGATAAATGTTAAACATGTTTAGATTCCATCAAGCAATTTAGAATATTTCCTACCAATTAGCTCTGGCTTCTTGTTGGACATGATCTGGTAAAATATGTGGTAGCTTCTTTCTGCCTTGAGCTGGAAAGTGACTCTGGACTTCTCCAGCAGATCTGGCAAGAATTGTAGAACAGAATTAGGCCTGAGAAAGTACACTGAGGTGTAAAGGGAGGAAGGAATGTGATCAGGGCAGGAGGTCTCTTACATGTTTCAATGTCAGCAGAAGCCAGTTTGCCTGTGGCTCCAAAGTGGATTCGAATGAATTTGCCCTTTAGAAGGGAAAGAAAAAAGGCATTTTGAAATTTCACTAAGACTATAAGTATGTAACCTTACATTCTCCATAAAGAACAGGATTTAAACTTAGAAGTTGTTTTGATTTGTTTTTCTTATTTTTCTTAAAAAAGGCAAAACAGAACAAAAAAAATTTTAGGAAACTCTCTGTACTGGCAATACTAAATTAAAGATCTGAGCAAAGTAATTATTATTTAGTTGGTAGCCCTGAATGCACAGGAAAGAGAAAACCACTAAGCAAGCCTCTTATTAAGTCATTTATGCCTCAATTCAAACAGATAGATATAAAGAAAGCCAAGATGCAGTCGCTTCATTTTTTAATCAGATAGGATGCTGTGAAAGTGGATTTTGGTGGTGTAAATGTTAAACGAGTTTTTTGGATCTTGTGGAAAAACAGAAGGCAGCTGTTATTTTCTGAGTTCTGGGGTTAGGGGCAACACAGCCAGAACATAGAACGTCAGGCTGCGACTGTAGGTTGGTATTGTGATTTCTCAAGGACATTCACAGCTTATCTAATAAAATTTATGAATTAAATTTTCTTTCATTAAAATAGTTTGGTTTCTGATAGGAAATCTTGAAGACATCTATCCCTTCCCCAACAACTTGTGTCAAGGTCTGAACAGTCAGATTAATAGACCTGCCCAGTTCTGTGTCTAAAAAACAAGAGGTTCTTATTTTTGCTGATCTGATGCAGGCAATTTCCATTCTGTCTGTCTGTCTTTTCCTCCCTCCCTCCTTTCCTTCTGCATTGCATCAATTTACAGAAATTTGTAGCTACACTCTGTATGAAAGATGCCAGGAGTATGTGTATATACATATATTTATAAATGTTAAGTAATACAGATATATATACATATTTAAATGTCCCCCCTTTGTAAATATTTGTTTGCTGTACTACACTTTTAAAGTTACATTGTTAATTAGATAGTCTATTTAGATAGTTTTTATTTGACAAAAATATGACGAAAATATTAGTTCAATGAATAAAATCATCCAACCATGACACTTCAGAAGTGACAGCTTCTGTTCTGACATCCTTGTTCACCTGTAAATGTCAACTTCTCTGATCAAAAACTTACAAAGCGTGAGGAGTTGTCGTTCCTCACGGTCTTAGCGTTTCCAAAGGCCTCCAGCAGTGGGTTGGCGCTGATGATTTGATCCTCAAGCGTTCCCTACAAGACAATAATTATTGCTGGTTATCCTTTCCAAAAATCATGTCAGGAATAGAGAAAAGCATTGATTCCAGCCACTACCTATTAATTTACCTGCATTTTGCCTGACTGCTGCTCCTCCTTCTTCTTCTCCCCACTCGCTGCAATTGTTGCAAAGTACTGGATGACACGCTTTGTGTTCACAGTCTTCCCTGCACCGGATTCTCCGCTGTCAAACCAAAGAGAGAAGCAGAGAGCGTGTGGTCAGGCAGGAGGTCCCCTGGCACTGGGCAGCCCCACAGGGACCCGAGCAGGGAGTGTACATACGTGATCAGGATTGACTGGTTCTCACGATCTGTGAAAGAGGCAAAAACAAATAGATTTTGTACATGAAGAACATAAAAAGACTGAAAATTAATGCAGTAAATGCAAGTTATGACAAGAAAAATATCTGCATGCTTTTTCCTTTGCTTACTAGTAACAGTTTTTAAAAATTCAGGTCTTTGCAAAGTAATGCTTTTCCATGAACAATGAAAACCCTTGAAGGGACATTTGTTTCTTCCCTACTGCACTCTTTATGGTCTTTTTTCTCCTGCATACAGTAAATTCTTTCAGGTTTTGTTGTTTTAATTTTCTGCTACACAGACGCTATTTAGAGCAAAAGTAGAGCAGGGGATAGTAAGAACCCATGACAAAGGAATCCTGAGCACGGGTAATAGTTCTGAACCCAACAGCACAGAGAAAGAAAAGAATGAAAAGGTGGAAGCAAAACTAGCAGCAATACATAATTCTATTTCATATTTTCATGTCATGGTTTTATCAAGACAAATCTGAATATTTGTGATATTGATTTTTCCTGTAACCCTTTGATGAATTAACTTCACATCGTTCGACAGAATTTTCACATCACATATGGATCTCATGCCGTGTTCAATTTCAGTATTTCATTACAGACATAATTATATTCCTTGCTCCACCTAGTCCAATTGGCTTATTGTTTTCCGTAACACACTAAATATCTCTGGTACTATACTTCCTTTTTAGAAATACTGACGTGAAAAATTCCTGTTTAAATTAGCAGTGATTAATGCTATGATTGAAATAAAACTCTAAGGATGTGTTAAGGAAGTATTAGCATATTTATCAGAGAAACTCTGTGATTACTTCTAAAATGTCTTTTTAATGGAATCACTCAGACAACCACTCACTCACCTGTTAGCATGAAATTAAAACAAACATGCAAAATGCCAGAACATCTCACTGAATGCAGGGCTGTCTTTCATTTAAAATAGCAGAAATAATAGTGTAAAGATAGTAAAATCTACAGTAGTATCTATTAATCAGAATCATGAAAGCTTTGAAAAAGTCTCCTCATATTACTGAGACAGAGTATCCCTTCAGAGAAATTCATAGTACAATCCCTCTGAAACAGATGGAGCCACTCACCAGTTAGCATGAACTGATAGGCATTATCAGAGATGGAGAAGATGTGTGGAGGGGCCTCCTGGCGCTTCTTGCCTCGGTAGGCCAACACCACCTCCGGGTTGTACACCGGCAGCCACTTGTAGGGATTGACAGTGACACAGAAGAGTCCCGAGTAGGTCTGTGAGGAAGGGAGACAGCACGTTGGCTTCCACTTAGCCTGGCAGAGCAGTTCCACCTAGCCGCCCAAAGGAAGACTGCTGCTGGTACTTACGTAGATCATCCAGGCTGCATAACGCTCTTTGAGGTTGTACAGCACAGCGGGTTCATGGAGGTGGGTCATCATGGCCATGTCTTCGACTTTATCATACTTGGGAGGGTTCATGGAAAAGACCTGATCTTCTTTTACGGTCAGGGTCTGTCAGATGAAGAAAGAATGTATGATGTCAGCTGAGAGCTGAGATTGTGCTGTGCACACAGTATTTTTTTTATGCTTTTTTTCCACCCCTCCCCAGCTTCTGTTGTCAGTGACCTTCCCTGATTCTTTGCTCTGGATTGACCCTTTCACAAAGGATTCCTTAGGATGCACTACAAAGACAGATGTCTTGGCATCAAAAGGCCTGTTCTGGGCCTCAATTCTCTCCTTCTCTGATTTTCGGAGGTAAGGAGCTGCCTCCCCGAAGGCAGCCATCTCAGCATCCGGAGAGGTCATGGTTGCACTTTATTGAAGGCACGTCAACAGAGAACCCTGGCAGAGAACCCTGTGGGAGAGAAGAAACTTAGCATCAATAGATCATTAATGCACATTGCTTGCAAGGAGACCTTTTCCAATGTTTTAAAATTAGGCAGATAATAGAATTGCTAAAACTAGCAAAACTAGCCTTCTTCCTGTTTAATGATTTAAACCCAGAAGAGAAAAATCTTGTTTTCATCCTTGAATAATACAGAATAACCTTTCAAAAATTGATGTTATTTGTGTCCTGTGACACTGTACAGATTGTATGTTGGCTTTACAGATTGTACAGTGTCATATTCGAGAATACGAATTATGTTAAAGGAACATTCTTCTTCTTCTGTAAAATTCAAAAAAAAAGGTATAGGTAGAAAATACACAGGTGCCTTGAAAGCAGATGGAAAAATTTATTTGGAAACCAGTTTCAGAGGGAAGAATATGGTGCATGATATGCAATAAAGGGGGATGCCTAATTTCGACAAATCACTAGACCCAGCACACTTACCTTGAAACTTTTCTTGGAGACAGGGCAGAGCACTGCAAAGACACTTTTATAGAGTCTGGTTGGCAGATGCTCTGGATTCCTCCTCTTTCTTCGGTCAAAACATTTTTTGGCAAACATTCTTTGGCAAAGCATTGTCTGGCAAACTTAACTAAGGGCATAATTGTCATTTGATTTGACCAGATATATTTAGAAATGTTTTGTATCTTACCAATGATGTGAATGTATCAACTATAAATAATTTGACAAGAGACTTAAGGAGAGAATTTCAATTAGTCAAGGCACTTGGAGAACTTGGATGTAAGAGTTATGGATTCTGCTGCTGCATTTCCAGTGATTTCCTCCTGGACTCAAGGCAGATTTTCATTGCATGTCTGTGCTGCAACTCTTCTACTTGCATTGTGCAGATAACATTAATGTTTTCCACATGATGTTCTGAGGCTAATGAAGAAATGCATTAAGGGTGGAGAAAAAAGCTAAAAATGTTCTTGTTCAATGAATTTAACACTTATGTTCATCTAATATTTGAAATAAGAGAAACAACATGTGTTAAAATCCAAATTCTTACATACATCATTCTTGGGAACTGAGATGCAGCCCAAGACAAAGAAACAATTACATATTTTTCTAAACAATCCTGTTGAAAGATAGGATACACATGAAAATGCATTAGATACAGAGCTGAGTAAGTATAAATTTGTAATATTTAGTGACTAGCAATAAAGTAATTAACAAAGTTTTTACTGCACCTCCAGCTTTAGCACAGATTTTTAAGAACACAATAGAGCCAAAAATGCAAAATAACCTTCTAAACAGCTCAAGCCTGTTCCTCACATATGTACCCACTGTCAACATATACCAAGCAATGTCCTCAA